AATTTTGTTGATCTGTCTTCTGTTCTTTTTGTCTTTGTGGGACTATGTCTTTCATTTAAAAAAAAAATCTCTTCCTCATTGTTTTAGTGTGGTTTCAAGAGGGAAATCTGCCATCTCTAATCAGAAGCCTATATTGTTTAATGCTTACTTCAAGTCCCGTTCTTCAGGTGGCAACAGTGAAGCTCAAAGAGGTTGACTAAAGTGTCTAAATTGCTAATAAATAGTACAGCCAGGACTTGTGCCCAGACAGCTGGATTCTTGACCATGCTGCCCTACCACCTCCCTGTAAAACCAGAAGCTAGAGTTTCTTCTCCACTGAGAGACAATCTCCTAGGTTACAGGTATGGGAAACTGTGCAAAGAGAGGCTCTAACTAGGAAATTGGCAAATTATATTAGATTCCATTAATATAATGACATTGTTATATGATACGTGAATGAGAAACTGCTGATAAATAATAGATTGTATCAACTGGTTCTCTGAGCCAAATGCCTTCCAGAACTTTTTGAACGTTTCATTTGAGAATAACTAAAATGGCATCATTTCCAGAACAGTTTGATTTGTTCTGTGCATCTGGGGGGAAAAAAAGTACAGCCAAGGGACTTTCTTAGAGTGTGGACATTTTCAGGCAATAGTCATAAGACTAAAGAGAGGTTCATTGTTATCAAAATTGTACTTTGTGTGTTGCTACTTCCTGAAATATCTGGAACTAATGTATCTAAGCAACCTACTTCCTGTTCATTGAGTTACAAGCTACCTAAAACCATAACAGACTGGGTTTTGTTTTGTTTTGTTTTGTTATAAGAGGAAATGGTTTCATTTAAATCCAGAACCTTATGCTAACAGGGGGTTGTGAAATAAGATTTCACCTCTGCCTTGAGCTCATCCGTGTGTCTTCTGCAACCCTATGAGATATCTCTGGGTCATTCTGATTGATTTTAGCTTTTAGCTACAGGCTTTCAGTAGTTATATAATATACACCATGTTTAGCATAAAATTTCTTTTGGTATTTTATAGATCATAGAATCCAAATCTCACTTCCTTCTTTGGTACATTTAAGGATTTAAAAAAAAGAAAACCCTGTTTCTTAAGGCTGTGGTTCTTTCCTCTAAACCACCTCCTTCAGATTCTGAAAAGCAAGAAGAGTTCACAGCATTTGTGTTTGCATCATAAACATTTTCAGATTCGACCTAGTGCGTGTAAAGCTACACCACTCGTTTTGTACTCTCGTCACATACAATCTACCCTAGATCCTGGATGTGTGTTCTAAACAAGGGTGTTACTTTAGGGTCTCAGTCTTATTTCCTCATCTGTCATGTTTGCTGTGAAAATTAAATGCAAAAAATTTGAGGTGAAAAACTCTGTGGCACAGTATTGATCATCCGGAGTATTAACTTAATTGAAAAGCATCTTCGGTTGGAGGAGGGAAATATCATGGTAATACATGAAGCTGGGAATCCAGAGACTGCATGTGAAGTCGCAGCCTTGCCTGTCATGAGTTGAGCAGCCTCGGGCAGGTCCCTTTCCTTCTGTGAGTCTTCTGAGAGTGTATGCAAGTCTGGGGCTGTGCTGGAAAACTGGAGTGGGGAGGGGGAGGAGGAAACCTCGTAGGTCCAGAAACAGTCGGTTGGGATTGTCTCCCTCCCTTGGTGTGAGCTTCTCAGTCAGCCTTTCTGATGGTTTGAGACTCAGCCACTGTGTAATAAGCCACCCACGTCATGGGCACCGGGGGAGGCAATGGCTTGCAAACCGAGGAATACCCTTCTCTGGGAGCCTGGGTCAGGTAGTGTAACCAGCAAGAACCAGGAATGTAACTCCGTCTCCAGTAATGACTGTTTACCGTCTGGAGACAGATTCTTTCCATAAAGGTTTCAAGCCAAGCGGAGGGAAGGCCCTGAGGCTTCTCCCTGGATGGGTTCTACTTGCATGTCTCCTTCTGTGCCCGATCCCTGGCGCGTCTCCAAGAGGCTTCTTTGCGCTGTGTATGAGGTGATGTCCCAATTTGGTGTCGAGAAAGATGTCCTTCTAGAGACTCTCTAAAATCACGCTCAGGGTTCTGTTCTTGCCTTTAATTCCTAACTTAAACCTGGAGACCTGCCAATCCCTGACATTGTGGTAGGAATTCACCAAATTTATCTTGGTTTTATATATCAAGATTAATTTGTTTTCCCAGTGCCTCTTCCTCAATTTGCCTACATCTGCTCATTTCTCAGACCTTTTCTTTTATTCCTTCCGTCTCATCCAGAAAGATACTTGAACTTGAGGGGAATGGGGGAAATCTTCGAAATCTTTTACGTTACATGTAAGATTTAGGTGTAAACAGTTACCTCTTTTAAAAGCTGGGAGATTACTCTTCTGCTTGCTTTATACATTTTCATAAACTGAATTTGATATATAATGTATAATTTTTATTATCTGTTAAAATTCAGGGTTTTTTTTTTTTACATTATAAGTACATGACTTTCCAATGGCTGCTACGTGATAAAGGAAATCTTCTGTGTCTTTTTAACGTAATACATGTTCCTTAGTATGAATCTTGTCTATTTTAATTAATATGACTTTTTTAATCTAGAGTCTCAAGAAAAATGCAAATGAGAAGGCTTATTTGTTTGATGTATCTCCTAAGTTTTGTGCGTGTAAATTTACTCCCCAGATATTTATATAAACATTCTTAGGTGCTTGCATCTCTTTCTTCTCTCTAATAAGCATAGCTCTTCTTAGCATGTTGGGCTTCTCAGATGGAGGGTCTTGGGGTCAGTCTTTCTACATCACCTCTTGGGGTCTGATAATGTAGACACACAGCTTACAGATGTGTAGGCTGACTATGTAGATGCCTCTGTGTGTCCTGGGTGGTGCTTGATTCTGGAAGGTGTTTAATCAGTACTCAGGTGTGTTAAAAACAAAATTCAACTGAGTAAATTTGAAGATCTAATTGGCTTTATTCAGGGATTCAAGCATTAGGCAGCATCTTGTCTAGAAAGTAGAAAGGCACTCCAAGGAGTTGTACAAAATGGAAGGTTTTATAGGAAGAAAGAGGGTGGGACAAGGAAGTTACAAGAATAGATCTGTTCGCAGGTAGAGAGACCCCTAAATTAGGGAGCCCATAAAAGTGTGAGTCCTTGCCACTGGCTGTGAAGGAATTTGCAGCAGAGGCAGAGGGACAAAGGGCATGGTTTTTTTATTGCTCGGAAGAGGAAAAGGAAAGAAAGGAGCTTGAGGGGGAGCTGTCAGCCAAGATGGTTGGTAGAGGCAGCTCCAGCCCTGGGCAGGTCATGTGGACTTCTATGGCAAGCTTCCAGCATCATATCCTCATTCCAGGTGTGTTGGAGCCAATTGCCTTTCTTTTCCGTCCTTATGTGGACTTTTCTGACTGTTGTCATGGCAATCAGCTGTCAGGGTGCTGGTGGGTGTGTCACTTAGCATGCTAATATATTACAATGACTGTATAATGAGGCTTAGGGTCCACTGGAAGTCAAATCCTCCACCATCTTGGGCTTCTCGCAGGTTCTAATCAGTTCTTGTTTCTTCTCTTTGCAGCTGCCCCCTGAGACTTAGATAAGAGAAATTGGTTTCTATTTGAGGGAGGGGCAGGGGTATGATCCTGGGGGCAACAGTCTTGAAAACAAAAAGGAAAGCTGCTTTTAATCAGAATACCCGCAATCTAGTGGACGCAGTGTCTCCCAGAAAAAAGCCATCTAAGGCCTGGGAGATTTCAGCTTTTCCATAAACAAGAGGCAGGGAGGGGTTGGGGGACCTTAGTTCTTGCGGAGGAACTGAGGATATAGTTGTATATATTCCTTGAGAAACAACCGGGACCCTGCCCCAAGGCTGCACTATTGTTTCTTGATTGCTCCTCCCATTCCCTCCTTTCCCTGATTAGCAACTGTCTGAATCTGTCCTTTGGAATGCAGGGGAGCTCCAGGAGACTGAATGAAGTCTATTTCCTACAAACCAGAAATGGGAGACCCAGAAAGATTCATAACAGGGAGGACCCCACAGGGTCTTGCTTGATATCAGATTATTTCAGACAAGGTTACTGTCCCTTAGAGACAAACAGGGGATTTGAGGCATATTACCTCACTGACAAGGAGATTCCAAATCGACCGGTTTAAAATTCTACTCCTAGGAGAGTCTGAAACTGCACTTACTTTAGGTATTAAGTCTTAGTGGAGCTTAGCACAAGTGACTCCATTTTGGACTTGCTGTTTCTTTTTAACAGGAGCATAACACATGGAATATCTAGTTGACCCAGGAGTGTGGTTATTCGGTTACATGTAGCTCATGTAGTTATTTGGTTGTAGTTAAAAATCAAAGCTTTACTGTATTTTAAGAATCTTAGATTTGAATTTAGATTTCTGGTTATAATATTGCTGCAGCTTGCACTGTAGGGAAAAGCACTGAACTCTAGCTGTGGCTTTGTGACCACCTGGGTGACCTTGACCCACTTGCTCTCTCAAGAGACAAAACAGCCCCTGGGGCCCTTTGCAGTTTGAAACCTCCCTGGTCCTGTGCTGCATGGTGAGATGCTGGTCAGATGGGTGCTGAGGAGGAACTTGTCAACATGAGGCTGTGTGGTTCCAGGTTATCTGAAGGGCTGTGCTTTGATCCGATGAGCCTTTTTTCTCATGTGACACTTATACTGCTGTACCTTGAGCCTTGAGGATGGCATCAGTGATCACAGCCAGCCTCTCCCATCAGCTCTGGGCTCTCTCTGCATTTCAGATGCCTGGGACGGAGGAGCCCCAGGATGCATGTGGCCCCGAGGAATCCAAGGGGAACTTGGAAAGTCCCAAGCAGGGCAGCAGTAAAATGAAGCTCAAGAGTCGTCTTTCAGGTAAGTGGACTCTGCCTAATACTCCTGCCTGAAAATGAGCATCCAGCCTCAGGATTGGGAAGATTAAGTCATTAGCAGGATGAGCTCTTTTTTTTTTTCTTAAAACCTCAAAATTGTTCTCTCTTTTGATGGTACATGCCCCGGGCATAACAACTGCCTTCAGCCTGACTGCCCACATGAGTATTTTCATCTGAGTCATAAAGAAGTGATGTCAACATCTCTGTTTGTCTCTGCTTAAACTTAAATCTCCTGTTGTGTTTGATTCATTTACTTCAACAGGACTTAAGGTGACCCTTTCATGGTAAGATATTCCTGGCGGCCTGTCGTCCCAGCAAGCATACCTCTCCCCTAAACCCTTGGTGGTCCATCAGAACGTGGGGCAAATAGCTATTTATTTAACATCACATCTGCATCTCAACTAAACAGGAGGGGAAATGAGATGGAATTGGGGTGGAGTTTATCTTTTGCAATAAATAGATTTGACATTTCCTGGGTGTATCCTCAGAGCAGCTGGCCTTCGCCCTGAGAGAGTCGGAGGCTGTGTGTGGGGACCCATTGTGACTTTCATGGGTCTGAGGCACTTTTTCCTAGACAGGCTCTTTCGACTGGGAAAAAGGAAAAAAAGAAAACTAAAAATTATATTTTATAGTTGCATTGCTATAAAGATACAAGCTGGATTAATTATGATCTATTCATTACTATTATGTTCATTTTTTTCTTCTGAATTAAAAAAAAATTTAAGTATTTCTGTGGGCCCTGAAAAGTGGCAGGGGCCCTCAGCACTGTGTCTGCTGGTCTCATGGAGACATCAGCCCTGGTTCCCACCCAGGAAAGACCTCTGGCCTAGCAGGAAAAGCAGAATCCAGTTTACTCTTCAGCCCTTGGGCTGGTTATTTAACCTTCCTAAACTTCTACTCCCTCACCTAAAAAAGGAGCTATGACAGTCCTGACTTTGAAAGGCTGAGCAGATTAAAACAAACAAAAAACACATGGAAAAGCACCTAGTGCAAAGCATGGTGTTACCACCCCCCAAAATGTCAGTTGTATCTTCCTGCCGCCCAAATCATTGGAGGGGTGATGTCTGTGGCTGCCAGCCAAGAGCACCCCCGCCCACATTGCCTGCCCCTCTGCTATTCTCAGGTAAGGTGGCAAGTTTAGGACCATAGCATACATCCACTTTAAAAAACAAAAACAAAGACAAAAACAAAAAACCCTGGGTAACAAAATGAACGGCTTTGTATTCGTAACTCAGACTAATTAGGTAGTGTCTGAGTGTTAGGATGTGTGTTTGCCACGAAAAGCAACGTGACAATCAGAAGCTACTTAAGTCTTGCAGGGGGGCTCATGCTAATGGTCCTCCCATGGAGATAATGACCAACTCCCCTTTAGCCCGGAGGCACGACTAAGAGAAATGCATCTAAACCCTGTGTGTGTTTGGGGTGGGGTCGCGGGGGGGGGAGGAGGGAGGGGAGGAGATCTTTAGGTCAGCTGTCTGATTGGCACCTTATAGACTGTTCCCAGGGGAGGGTCATAGAGCTCTGGGGAAGTACAGGGACCTTTGAAACCAGTGCTATCACATTCCTCATTTTATGAGTGAGAACAGAGAAGTTAAGGGGATCCCAAAGGTCACTCATTCAGTCAGCAAAAAGAACTGCCTTCCAAGCAGAATTCTTCCTGCCTACCCCTTAGTTTCCTGTGGATCTTAGAGGGAATCCCATTCCCCAGTGTGGGGCTTTACAGATATAGACGTGGGGAGGGGGACATTACTGACAACTTCCCAGGTCCATGATTCTCTGTGTTCATACTATTAGTTTTGAACATGCAGGACATTCAGCTCGGTAGTAAATCCAGAACTGACTACTCTTTGCCACAAATGGATGCCACCCTCTATTCCTATATTTTTCCCAGATATCCAATGCCATAACAAGGACATACAGCAGAAGAAGCACATGCATGAAGTCAGGAAGAACCGTGTTCAATTCCTAACTCTGCCACTACTGGTTGTGTGACCTGGGACATGTGACTTGACTTCTCTGGGTCTCTGTTTTTTTCATCTGTAAGATGAGGCTTATAATGTAACTTTATTCTGCAAATCAATGTGGGTGCCTTCTAAGTGCCGGCACTTGTTGAAAGATCCAGTTGAGAGAATGCACATGGCGCAACCATTCCAAAATGTGGCAGCAAGGGGCCCTCACGACGTAGTGGCTGCCACCGTCGTTACCACTGTCATCGTTAATATCACGCTTATCATTGTCATTTCCATTTTCATTATCATTGTTCTCTTTCCCTCTCAAGAGGGGAAGATGTTTGAATGGGTTCAGATAGGAAGATTCTCAAGAACTTGTACGTGATAATAAGACATGCTTAAGAGGTACAGAGTTTCTTAAAGAGTTTGGAAGTCTCTCTGGGTCATGGTGCTGGGGAAAGCCATCCAGAGGATGCAGGGTAAAGGAAGGCCAGTATGTTGACAGGACTTGGTGGAACACCTGAGGCGGAAAACAGTGGTCTAGACTTGGGATAAAATGCATGAGAAAGATTTAGGGACAATGGGAAAAGAATTGGTTAGAGAAGTTTTTGGCAACTGTTTTTCCTCCTCGTCTATTTGAAAGATCCAGTAATCTAATAGTAGCAATGATTCAACCCAGCAGAGAGATTAGGGGGAAGGAGACTTGGCATGGGAGGTGATGGTGCGGGCGAAGTTGGGTAAAACGTCAAGAGATATTTATATGCTCCCCAGTTTTGGAAAGGATGCTGATGGAGGACAGAACCTCTCCTTTGAGAATCAGCAGGCTAAAGCAATGAATTCATGCAGCAGAGTAGTGGGAGATAAGACTGGAAAAGTAATTTGGAGGCACGTTAAACAGGCTTAAGGAATTGGTTCTTCATTCAGTGCTGTGAAATATGTTCAGTCTAAAGACATTTGAATATAGGAGATTTTAATGTGATCAGCTCCTAATTTCTCTGTCCTGTAAACTTGGGTATCTATTTCATATTTTCTTAAAGTGAGTCACTCTGGTATTCACATATCAGCATATTATCTACAGACACTACTGTATGTGGTTTCTCTTCTGTTGATGGCAAGTGCTTCCCTGTCAGCTCAAAAGGAATTTTCTTCTAATAAATCTTTTTCAGATGAGTAAGCATGCCAAGATAGATCAACTGGTTGTGAATTATTAAGTCATGAATTATTAAGGAGGTTCTGTAAAGAGGTTCCAGCCATTTCCACTCAGGTTTTGCCCAGTCTGGCCCCAAAATGACTAAAGTGATTTCATGGAACATTTTTCCTAACATTCTAACCAGTTTTCTTTACTTCATATCTCCTATTTTGCCAGCAAGTTTCCCTTTTAATTTTGGTATTTTTGATTTATCCATGTTAATGCTTTAGGTTTGTGATCTTTTTAAATGAAAGTTTTTCTTTGATTGCAAAGGAATTTCAAGTGTTTGAAAACCTGCAATTTGTATCACAAATATAAGTAATTTTTGAGAAACCAAACCTTTAGTGATGTCCCTTGTAATATAACTGTATCAGCGCTACTCTAACTTTCCATCATTATTAAAAGCTCATCAATAGATCGTTTTTAAAAGAGTACAAAATCATCTTGTTTTATTCCATGAAAAACTGCCTGAGAAATTTTTAGATAAATTGAAATTTTAGGTCATCAAATGAAACATTACATAGTCTAGGATATTTTGACAGTTCAAAGAATCTATATGTAGCTTTATACACAAACGTGTATATATACGTGCATATACACATATATGGTGTATAATGTAAACGTTGTAATGTGATTATAGTTATGTTCAATGTAATTGATCCATCATTTAAGATTAAAGTCCCTTAAACCCTCGTACACTATTGGTGGAAATGTAAATTGGTGCCACCACTGTAGAAAACAGTATGGAGGTTTCTCAAAAAATTAAAAATAGGGCAACTAGAGGAGAAATTATATACAGGATGGTAACAAAATGAAGGTTTGCTGACTTCTTTTCAGAAAAATGTAAGCAAGAAGGCAATATATAACATTTTAAAGGGCTAAAAAATGAATGATCTAGAATCCTATGCCCAATGAGAGTATTTTGTGAAAATGGAATAAAATACTTTCAGATTAAAAAAAAATTAAAAATAGGATTACGACATGACCCAGCAATTCCACTCTCCCACTCCTAGGTATACATCTGAAAAAAAAAACCCCAAAAACTCTAATTCAAAAGGATAAATGCACCCCAAAGTTCTTAGCAACATTATTTACAATTGCCAAGATATGGAAGCAACCTAAGTGTCCATCAACAGATGAACTGATAAAGAATATAGGAGTTAAGGGATTAAGGGGTACAAACTATTAGGTGTAAGTAAGCTACAAGGATATATTATACAACACGGGTAATACAGCAAATATTTCATAATAACTATAAATGGAGTAAACTTTAAAAATTGTGAATCACACAACTGACTGCTAAACAACCATCGATAAAGAAAGACTGGAACCTACCAAAAAAGACCTTCAACTGGAAACCTAAAGAGGGAACTACAGCGAGATGGTAGGAGGGGTGTGCTTGTGATATAATAGAGCCTCACACCCCTTGGATAGGCAACCCACACACTGGAGAATAATTAAGTGGCAGAGGCGTGAGAGTTCTGAGCCCCGCGTCCGGCTGCCCAGCCCGAGGTTCCAGCATTAGGAGAAAGAACCCCAAGAGCATTTGGTTTTAAAGGCCAGCAGAGCTTAACTGCAATAGTAAAATCATCTGTACCCACAATAAGCAGTTAAAGGATACACAAAATAATTAGATGTAAAATATGTTATCAAAACCAGTAAGCGTGAGGGGAGAATACAAATGCAGGGTGTCTAAAATGCATTTGAAATTAAGAGATCAGCAACTTAAAACAATCCTGTGTGTGTGTGTGTGTGTGTGTGTGTGTGTGTGTGTGTGTGTA